AGCAATATTTCGTTAATGTTTTGATTACTGGTCCGTAGCTGAATGTTTATACAGAGATGCAGTGCAGATATATGTATTCTTGAAATACTTACGGTCCCATGATACATCAGTATAGCCACCAAAGATGTAACTACCAACACGAACAATGGTAACTGTCGGTCCTTTGTTGTCACACTGGGGGTGGAATGTTGAATCCACATCCCATCCATCGCTAGCAGCTCTCCAACATCTTATCCAACGACTTCTACTTGAATCTTGAAGAACAGGACTCAGATAACTGGACAGCTGCTGCAGATAATTGTTGTTGCCATAGTCACGGAGAATAATCGAATCCTTAAGTTCAACTGAAATTAAACAATGTTATGTACAAGCGTAAATAATCTCTATGATACAGCGAAGAAAATCTAAAACAAAGTTGACAATTAAAAGCCAAACACTTCATGACCGAAAATGTCTCATGCTTAATGAATGCACACACAAAATTGATCTCAAGCTCAAGAGGGTGAGCTGCATTATTGATTTCAAAGTTACATGTGAGATCGACAAGGATAAGGGGGTACTCCCAACTTGGTCGTACACGTCAATTTGCGAATTTCATTAGTTTAACACAAAAGAATCAAGACTAGACGGCATGCATATCGTCATTCAATCGTAAAAGTTATTGTTTATTACTACGAATGAAATGAATCATGTTTTCCTAAACAAGAAAGCAGGGTTTTTTTTAGCTTTTAGTTTGTTTGTTTTTGTTTTTGTTTTGTTTTGTTTTGTTTTGTTTTGTTTTTTGTTTTTTTGTTAAAAAAAAACATTACTTGCCTCGCTATGCTCGCTTACGGTCTTGGATGATTTGTTAATTCTCTTTGTTTCGGGTGTTTTATGTTAACCTTAAAAGCTAAGCTAACTTTATAATCTTGGACACTTCTTGGCAAAGATCTGCTGCACATGAACCTTGAGTCAGCTCCCAAAATGTACAATCGATTTAATTGTTATTTAGTATGAAACACTAGTATCTTAATTCTTCATTTTTACACTAGTGAAAAATGATCTTACGATTGACAGAAATAAAGGTGTTTCATATATAATTACATGATAAATGGATTTTATATTTAGCTGTTTAAAAGATCTCGGTTAAAAGCAACGAAAATGAAAAACTCTACAAGCAACCATCTAATATTCTTTTTATTATATCGTATGATTAACCATGGAAGCATGCAAATTAACTATTAAAATTAAATTACAATTTATTAATATATGGAATATCCAAGAGTTATTACAAATGTGTGAAATAGTCGATAAATATCCATATCATAATACTTTACCTCTTGCACATGAGTGTCCGTCTCNAAGACCCACATGTGACGTCATTCCAGTGATAATCATGACGTAATCCAAGAGTATGTACACAATCCTGGTCTCCAGGGTAACCGTTTGGTTGGTTCTTTGCCCAGTACGTAAAGTTAACATTGGTACCGTCAATCCAGGTAAAGTTTCCTTCACTGTCAATGTCTTGTAGTCCTATCCATCCTGTATCACCGCCGTGACGATGTTGAATGTACGTGTTTTCTTCTTGGCTGGTTACACTTGTCAGATTGGAGTTGACATCAAGACAGTTGGACTGAGCTGCATTCCAAGAAGCACAGGAAGAGGTGGTCTTGTAGCAGAAGCCGTTGAAGTAGTTCCAGTCTTTTCCACACATGTCTAAAACGAAGAACAATTGTGGATAGTAGTTACTGTGATGTAATGTTTCCCCAAACAATAATCGTTGCCGATGGAATGAAATCTTCTTCTCGACTCAATTAGTTAAGCGAGCTGTTCTGATTGAGCAAAAAGAAATACCTGATACAACCACGTACTGCAGGGTGACAGGGTCATAACGGTCCGAGTACAACTCTTTAAGGCAAACACGGAATGTTGCCATCGTAATATCCTGTATAAGAACAAAAATGATCCGGTATCCAAACGATGTGATATAATATAAACGATGTGATATTGTCTAAGATATTTGTAGGTAGTCAAATWARTCATCGGSCATAAGTAGCTGGCCCCGGCTACTTCCCTATATTTGCTAAAAGGGCATGTGCCGCTCGGTACTAGGGTCTAAGTCTGGGTTAGGGTAGTAGTTTTTACTGGGATAAGGCATTTTGTCTAGGATAGGGTATTTTATCATTGTCTGGGGTAGAGTTGAGTTTTGCCTGTGATCGTATCTGCTAGGCCACGCTTTCAGCGCTAAAATAATGTACCTTTGTACCTTTAGCCTGCTGTAGGGTATGTAAAATCACAAAAATTGGTCTGGGATACGGTAAGAATTTTGAGAGGGTCCTGCGGCACACCCAGTAGATTGAAAATGGTACTTAGCGGGAGCCCATTACTAGGAGCCTTCCTCTTCTTCATAAGCTCTTGGAACGGCATTTACCCCTCTTGGTGCTATTTTTAGAATTGCTCATTATAAATTCAGCGCAAAACAGCCAATCAGAAAGCGACTTGAACAATAGATTTCTGAATGACTGACGGCGCGGCCGCCGGTCGACCGCCGGCAGTTCCGAGGAGGAAGATCTTAGCACTAGACTATTCAAAATTCATTTTCAGGGTGCTTAATAGTAGAAATATGTCCCAAAAAAGGAAAGCAGAATCACCTATCGCTTCATATTTAGACGATGAGGAAGCCAGTGATAGAAAACAAGTGTAATTAATCTTAGGAATACAGGGGGAAAATCTGGAGAAAAAACAACAACCAACACGGATTATGAACTTTTCATTGAGCAGCCGAAGACCAACAAAATTCATTGGACAGCAAAAGCAAAACAAATCGACTCAAATAACACTCTGGATAACCAAAATTTGAAATCAAATGGCTGTTGAAGACCAGGAACGAAGGTTCAAATTGTACAAAAGCGGAAAATTTTCAACTTGAGCAAACTTGAGGAAACTGAAGCAAGTAATAATAATAATAATAATAATAATAATAATAATAATAATAATAATAATAATAATAATAATAATAATAATAATAATAATAATAATAATAATA